AAAATGGGAATTTTGGGGAAAAATGGAGGATTTTGGGAAAAAAATGGGGAATTTTGGGGGAAAAATGGGGGATTTTGGGAAAAAAATGGGGGCTTTTTGGGGAAAAAAAGAGGGATTTTGAGAAAAAAATGGAATTTTTGGGGAAAATATGGGGATTTGGGGGGGAAAAGGGGATTTTTGGGTTAATTTCAGCCGATTTTGGGTCCATTCCACCCAATTTTGGGAACTTTGGGCTCCTCAAATCCAATTTTGGGCTCCTCGAACCCGTTTTTGGGTCCATTTTTCGGGATTCTGGTGCCGATTCCCAGGTTTTTGGGTCCATTTTTCCGGATTTTGGGTCCATTTCTCGGTGTTTTGGGTCCATTCTTTGTGATTTTGTGCCGATTCCCTGGTTTTTGGGTCCATTTCTCGGTGTTTTGGGTCCATTTTTCCGGATTTTGGGTCCATTTTTCCGGATTTTGTGCCGATTCCGTGTGTTTTGGGTCCATTTTTTGTGATTTTGTGCCGATTCCGGGTGTTTTGGGTCCATTTCTCGGTGTTTTGGGTCCATTTCTCGGTGTTTTGGGTCCGATTCCGGGTGTTTTGGGTCCATTTCTCGGTGTTTTGGGTCCATTTCTCGGTGTTTTGGGTCCATTTCTCGGTGTTTTGGGTCCATTTTTTGTGATTTTGTGCCGATTCCCTGGTTTTTGGGTCCATTTTTCCGGATTTTGGGTCCATTTTTCCGGATTTTGGGTCCATTTTTCCGGATTTTGTGCCGATTCTGGGTGTTTTGGGTGCGATTCCCAGGTTTTTGGGTCCATTTTTCCGGATTTTGGGTCCATTTTTCCGGGTTTTGTGCCGATTCCGGGTGTTTTGGGTCCATTTTTTGTGATTTTGGGTCCATTTTTCCGGATTTTGTGCCGATTCTGGGTGTTTTGGGTCCATTTCTCGGTGTTTTGGGTCCATTTTTTGTGATTTTGGGTCCATTTTTCCGGATTTTGGGTCCATTTTTCCGGGTTTTGTGCCGATTCCGGGTGTTTTGGGTCCATTTTTTGTGATTTTGGGTCCATTTTTTGTGATTTTGTGCCGATTCCGGGTGTTTTGGGTCCATTTTTTGTGATTTTGGGTCCATTTTTTGTGATTTTGGTGCCGATTCCGGGTGTTTTGGGTCCATTTCTCGGTGTTTTGGGTCCATTTCTCGGTGTTTTGGGTGCGATTCCCAGGTTTTTGGGTCCATTTCTCGGTGTTTTGGGTCCATTTTTCCGGGTTTTGTGCCGATTCCGGGTGTTTTGGGTCCATTTTTCGGTGTTTTGGGTCCATTTTTTGTGATTTTGGGTCCGATTCCGGGTGTTTTGGGTCCATTTTTTGTGATTTTGGGTCCATTTTTCCGGATTTTGTGCCGATTCTGGGTGTTTTGGGTCCATTTCTCGGTGTTTTGGGTCCATTTTTCTGGATTTTGTGCCGATTCCTGGTGTTTTGGGTCCATTTTTCCGGATTTTGGGTCCATTTTTCCGGGTTTTGTGCCGATTCCGGGTGTTTTGGGTCCATTTTTCCGGATTTTGGGTCCATTTTTCCGGATTTTGGGTCCATTTTTCCGTGTTTTGTGCCGATTCCGGGTGTTTTTGCCGCGGCAGGGGGGGATTTCTACGGGCGCTTGGCGGCCTCCATCGCCCCCGAGATCTTCGGCCACGAGGACGTGAAGAAATCGCTGCTGCTGCTGCTGGTGGGGGGCGTGGAGCAGAACCCGCGCGGGATGCGCATCCGGGGTGAGCCCGGAACGCCGGGAAAAACACGGGAAAAACGCGGGAAAACAGCGGGAAAACAGCGGGGAAACAGCGGGGAAACGCCGGGAAAAACACGGGAAAAATGCGGGAAAACAGCGGGGAAACACGGGAAAAATACTGGGAAAAATACGGGAAAAATCCTGGGAAAAACACGGGAAAACAGCGGGAAAACACCGGGGAAACGCCGGGGAAAATATGGGAAAACAGCAGGAAAAATATGGGAAAAACACGGGAAAAACACGGGAAAAATACTGGGAAAAACTTGGGAAAAACACGGGAAAAATACTGGGAAAACGCTGGGAAAAACACGGGAAAAATACTGGGAAAAATATGGGAAAAATCCTGGGAAAAACATGGGGAAAATATGGAAAAACACGGGAAAAATCCTGGGAAAACGGGGAAAAAATCCTGGGAAAAACACGGGAAAAATCCTGGGAAAAACAGGGGAAAAATGGGGAAAAAATGGGGAAAAAATCCTGGGAAAAACACGGGAAAAACACAGGAAAAATACTGGGAAAAACTTGGGGAATATACGGGAAAATCCTGGGAAAAACACGGGGAAAATATGGAAAAATACCGGGAAAAATCCTGGGAAAACACGGGAAAAACATGGGAAAAATACAGGAAAAATCCTGGGAAAAACACGGGGAAAATATGGAAAAACACCGGGAAAAATCCTGGGAAAACACCGGGGAAACGCCGGGAAAAATGCTGGGAAAACGGGGAAAAAATCCTGGGAAAACACCGGGAAAAACACCGGGAAAAATCCTGGGAAAAACTTGGGGAAAATACGGGAAAAATCCTGGGAAAAACACGGGAAAAATCCTGGGAAAACGGGGAAAAAATCCTGGGAAAAACATGGGAAAAATACGGGAAAAATCCTGGGAAAAACACGGGAAAAAATGGGGAAAAAATCCTGGGAAAAATACGGGAAAAATCCTGGGAAAAACACCGGGAGAAACACCGGGAAAAATCCTTGGAAGAACATGGGAAAAATCCTGGGAAAACACCAGGGAAACACCGGGAAAATGCTGGGAAAAACACGGGAAAAATCCTGGGAAAAACACGGGAAAAACACGGGAAAAATACGGCAAAAATCCCATTTTTCCCGTTGTTTTTCCCATTTTTCCCGGTTTTTCCCCCATTTCCCTCATTCCCGTTGTTTTTCCTGTTGTTTTCCCCATTTTTCCCGTTGTTTTTCCCGTTGTTTTTCCCGTTTTTCCCGGTTTTTCCCCCATTTCCCTGCCCTCATTCCCGTTGTTGTTTTTCCCGTTTTCCCGTTGTTTTTCCTGTTGTTTTTCCCATTTTTCCCGTTTTTCCCGTTTTCTCCCCATTTCCCTCATTCCCGTTGTTGTTTTTCCCATTTTTCCCGTTTTTCCCATTTTTCCCGTTTTTCTCCCCATTTCCCTCATTCCCGTTGTTTTCCCGTTGTTTTTCCCCATTTTTCTTGTTTTTTCCCGTTGTTTTTCCCATTTTTTCCCGTTTTCTCCCCATTTCCCTCATTCCCGTTGTTTTCCCCATTTTTCCCGTTGTTTTTGTTTTTGTTTTTCCCGTTGTTTTTCCCCATTTTTCTTGTTTTTTCCCGGTTTTTCCCATTTTTCCCGTTTTCTCCCCATTTCCCTCATTCCCGTTGTTTTTGTTTTTGTTTTTGTTTTTCCCAGGGAACATCAACATTTGTCTGATGGGGGATCCGGGCGTGGCCAAATCCCAACTGCTCTGCTACATCGACCGCCTGGCGCCCCGCAGTGAGCCTTCATCTTCATCATCTTCATCCTCATCATCCTCACCTTCCTTATCTTCATCCTCATCTTTATCTGCATCCTCATATTCATTATCTTCATCTTCATCTTCTTCCTTCTCCTCCTGCTGCTACATCGACCGCCTGGCGCCCCGCAGTGAGTGAGCCTTCATCATCCTCATCATCCTCATCTTCATCTTCATCATCTTCATCCTCACCTTCATCATCCTCACCTTCATATTCATCATCTTTATTCTCATCTTTATCTTTATCTTTATCTTTATATCCTCCTGCTACATCGACCGCCTGGCGCCCCGCAGTGAGCCTTCATCATCTTCATCCTCATCCTCACCTTCATCATCTTCATCATCCTCACCTTCATATTCATCATCTTTATCCTCATCTTTATCTTCATCTTTATCTTCCTCCTGCTGCTACATCGACCGCCTGGCGCCCTGCAGTGAGTGAGCCTTCATCATCTTCATCATCCTCATCTTCATCTTCATCATCTTCATCCTCACCTTCATCATCCTCACCTTCATCATCATCTTTATCCTCATCTTTATCTTTATCTTTATATCTTCCTGCTGCTGCATCGACCGCCTGGCGCCTCGCAGTGAGCCTTCATCATCCTCATCTTCATCATCCTCATCATCATCATCTTCATCCTCACCTTCATCATCCTCATCTTTATCTGCATCCTCATATTCATTATCTTTATCTTCATCTTCATCTTCCTCCTCCTGCTGCTGCATCGACCGCCTGGCGCCCCGCAGTGAGTGAGCCTTCATCATCCTCATCATCCTCACCTTCATCATCCTCACCTTCCTCATCTTCATCTTCATCATCCTCATCCTCACCTTCATATTTATCTTCATTATCTTTATCTTCATCTTTATCTTCCTCCTCCTGCTGCTGCATCGACCGCCTGGCGCCCCGCAGTGAGTGAGCCTTCATCCTCATCATCCTCATCTTCATCTTCATCATCTTCATCTTCATCATCATCCTCATCCTCACCTTTATCCTCATCTTCATCCTCATCTTTATCTTTATCTTTATATTCTCCTGCTGCTGCATCGACCGCCTGGCGCCCCGCAGTGAGCCTTCATCCTCATCATCATCCTCATCTTCATCTTCATCACCTTCATCTTCATCACCTTCATCCTCATCATCCTCACCTTCATCATCTTCATTGTTATCTTCATCTTCATTCTCATCTTTATCTCCATCTTTATATTCTCCTGCTGCTGCATCGACCGCCTGGCGCCCCGCAGTGAGTGAGCCTTCATCATCTTCATCATCATCATCTTCATCTTCATCATCTTCATCCTCACCTTCATCCTCATCTTCATCATCCTCACCTTCATCATCATCTTTATTCTCATCTTTATCTTTATATTCTCCTGCTACATCGACCGCCTGGCGCCCCGCAGTGAGCCTTCATCCTCATCATCCTCACCTTCCTCACCTTCATCATCCTCACCTTCATCATCCTCACCTTCATCATCCTCACCTTCATCATCATCTTTATTCTCATCTTTATCTTTATATTCTCCTCCTGCTGCTACATCGACCGCCTGGCGCCCCGCAGTGAGCCTTCATCATCCTCATCATCATCATCCTCATCCTCACCTTCATCCTCACCTTCATCATCTTCATCATCCTCACCTTCATCATCCTCATCATCCTCATCTTTATCTTTATCTTTATCTTTATCTTTATCTTTATCTTTATCTTCCTCCTCCTGCTGCTACATCGACCGCCTGGCGCCCCGCAGTGAGCCTTCATCTTCATCATCCTCACCTTCATCATCCTCATCCTCATCTTCATCATCCTCACCTTCCTCATCTTCATCTTCATCATCATCTTTATTCTCATCTTTATCTTTATATTCTCCTGCTACATCGACCGCCTGGCGCCCCGCAGTGAGCCTTCATCATCCTCATCCTCATCATCCTCATCTTCATCATCCTCACCTTCCTTATCTTCATCTTCATCCTCATCTTCATCCTCATCTTTATCTTCATCTTTATCTTTATCTTCTTCCTTCTCCTTCTTCTGCTGCATCAACCGCCTGGCGCCCCGCAGTGAGCCTTCATCCTCATCCTCATCATCCTCACCTTCATCATCCTCATCTTCATCATCTTCATCCTCACCTTCATCATCATCCTCATCTTTATTCTCATCTTTATCTTTATCTTCATCTTTATATTCTCCTCCTGCTACATCGACCGCCTGGCGCCCCGCATTTTTTCCACCCCAAAATCCCATTTTCCACCCCAAAACCCCATTTTCCAGTCCCAAAATCCCATTTTCCACTCCCAAAATCCCATTTCTTCACCGTTTCTTCTCATTTTTTCACCTTTTTCCACCGTTTCTTCGCCGTTTTTTCACCGTTTTTCTCCATTTTTTCACCGTTTTTCCCCATTTCTTCTCATTTTTCCCATTTCCAGGCCAGTACACGACGGGCCGCGGCTCCTCGGGCGCCGGCCTGACGGCGGCCGTGCGGCG